CCTCCCACCCTTCCCCTCCCACCATTCCCATCCCACTCCTCCCCTACCCCCCCTCCCCTACCACTATTCCCCTACCACCATTCCCCTACCACCATTCCCCTACCACCATTCCCCTACCACCATTCCCCTACCATCATTCCCCTACCATCATTCCCCAACCATCATTCCCCTACCACCATTCCCCTACCAACCATCATTCCCCTACCATCATTCCCCTACCATCACTCCCCTACCATCATTTTTCCTACAACCATTCCCCTACCACCATTCCCATACCACCATTCCCCTACCACTATTCCCCTACTACTATTCCCCTACCACCATTCCCCTACCACCATTCCCCTACCACCATTCCCCTACCACCATTCCCCTACCATTATTCCCCTACCATCATTCCCCTACCATCATTCCCCTACCACCATGCCCTACCACTATTCCCCTACCACTATTCCCCTACCACTATTCCCCTACCACTATTCCCCTACCATCATTCCCCTACCACCATTCCCCTACCACCATTCTCCTGGACGAGACAGAATCTAGAGTTTTTTGTGTCAACAAAAACAAATTACTATTTGACGGCCAGATGGAAATGCCAGTAGAAATAACGTCTTCAATGATAAAAATAAAAGGACAGCCACGGGTGGACGACTCCTTCCTACGGCCCTCTTCAACACTGAGACTGAATCTCAAGCCTACGTCATTCTCATAATGCCCACGACATGTACCGCAACTTAGGTACAAGCTTTATCAATTGGTGCGATGAACAGTTTTCTCCAACTGAATGTCTCTATAATTACAAGCTTTATCAATTGGTGCGATGAACAGTTTTCTCCAACTGAATGTCTCTATAATTACAAGCTTTATCAATTGGTGCGATGAACAGTTTTCTCCAACTGAATGTCTCTATAATTACAAGCTTTATCAATTGGTGCGATGAACAGTTTTCTCCAACTGAATGTCTCTATAATTACAAGCTTTATCAATTGGTGCGATGAACAGTTTTCTCCAAACTGAATGTCTCTATAATTACAAGCTTTATCAATTGGTGCGATGAACAGTTTTCTCCAAACTGAATGTCTCTATAATTACAAGCTTTATCAATTGGTGCGATGAACAGTTTTCTCCAACTGAATGTCTCTATAATTACAAGCTTTATCAATTGGTGCGATGAACAGTTTTCTCCAAACTGAATGTCTCTATGATTACAAGCTTTATCAATTGGTGCGATGAACAGTTTTCTCCAAACTGAATGTCTCTATAATTACAAGCTTTATCAATTGGTGCGATGAACAGTTTTCTCCAAACTGAATGTCTCTATAATTACAAGCTTTATCAATTGGTGCGATGAACAGTTTTCTCCAAACTGAATGTCTCTATAATTACAAGCTTTATCAATTGGTGCGATGAACAGTTTTCTCCAAACTGAATGTCTCTATAATTACAAGCTTTATCAATTGGTGCGATGAACCGTTTTCTCCAAACTGAATGTCTCTATAATTACAAGCTTTATCAATTGGTGCGATGAACAGTTTTCTCCAACTGAATGTCTCTATGATAATAAGCTAACATGGCATGAGCACGGCCAAATGCTGTATAAGAAATTCAACCAAAGACTGTTGTACCTAAAAAAAAACTGTACAATTTCGGCGTAAACAAACAAGTCGTTAACTTATTTCACAGTGCAACTATTGGAAACCTACTTAATTTCAATATTATCTGCTGGTGTGGGAAGTCAACGTTTGATATTAAATACCGAATAAACAGACTAATTAAGAAAGCTAGGAACATAACACAAACTTAACATCCTTCTCTTGAATAACCATTTTAAGAAAGATTATCATACAACTAAACAAATTTTGGTTGATTCATCACACCCTCTTAACCAGAGATACTTAGGATCAGGCCGTTCGAGAAGAAGTCTTTCCATCAGGGCGAGGACTGAAAGATATAAAAATTCTTTTGTTCCCCAATCTGTACGAATTTACCAGCGTGCTTCTTCTGAAGTCACAAATCTGAAAGATAACTAATAAGTCCCTAACATGCCTAAGAGAGTTCACTGAATGGCTGTTTTTTCACTAGTGAAATAATTTAGTGTAGGTGTCTTGTGTTAAAATTGTTTTATTCATGTGCTGAACATTTACAATGCAATCAAAAAAGATTTCCATTTGTTTGGATCAATAAAAGAATCGTATCTTATTTTATCTTATCTGAACGTATAGTTGCAAAATCTACAAGTCAGTTGTTAAAGATTGGTTTTATTATTTTTTAAATTGTTATTGCAGTCAAAAATATTTATCATCAGCTGAGAGAAGTTCTATGGCGAAGACACTTAAAATGACAGATGGCCAGGTCAAGACCTGGTTTCAAAACAGAAGGACGAAATGGAGGTAATGTCGGTTTTTTTTTATATTGTACTTATATTTTCATCTAGTTATGAACAAATAGTTATAGCATGCCAAACAATGGCAGGTGCAATGCGTGAGCTTCCTATCTACTAAAGTTACTTGACATAACGTGCACTCAATGAAGGCACATTATAAGAATCGAAACTAGTGCCTCCTACCTTCTCCACCCCTACCCAACGCAACGCCAACGCATAGTTGTTTTTTTTTTTGGGTTGTTCTTTGACGCCCTTGAAATATGTTAATATGCTAGTGCCCATATTATGCCGAAGATTAACTACATCCTACATAAATTGAGACTATTTCTACAAAACAAATGAAAATATTACGCACTAAACGGATGTAGCGCAGATATCGGGAATTGTATTTAGTGAAAGCCTTAGTGACAAGAGTTATTATTTTGTTACAAGGAGAATTATGAACTTTGATGGGCCATTTTTTTTACTCTCTTATTTTCCCCCATGTACCATTTCATCCCATCCCTTCTAGAAGACAGACAGCCGAAGAAAGGGAGGCAGAACGGGAGGCAGCCAGTCGCTTGATCCTGAGTCTTCAAACAGACAAGTCCCAGTGCCTTGACGTCACAGATTCCGTTTGTCTTAGGAACTCGTCCCTGCACGCCCTACAGAACCTCAGGCCATGGAAGGAGGAGGGGGTGGGGGCAGAAAGTGACACGTGATCACACCTGAGGCCCTGGATGGAGGAGGGGGGCAGAGAGTGACACGTGATCACACCTCAGGCCGTGGAAGGAGGAGGGGGGGGAGAGTGACACGTGATCACACCTGAGGCCTTGGATGGAGGGGGGGTGGGGGCAGAAAGTGACACGTGATCACACCTGAGGCCGTGGATGGAGGAGGGGGTGGGGGCAGAAAGTGACACGTGATCACACCTGAGGCCGTGGATGGAGGAGGGGGGCAGAAAGTGACACGTGATCACACCTCAGGCCGTGGAAGAAGGGGGTGGACAGAAAGTGACACGTGATCACACCTCAGGCCCTGGAAGGAGGAGGGGGTTGGAGGCAGAGAGTGACACGTGATCACACCTCAGGCCGTGGAAGGAGGAGGGGGTGGCGAAAGAGCGTGACACTTGATCACACTGACAAGTTTAGCATCATTAGAATTGTGTTATCCAAGTTACTCAACCGTCAGACATTCATAAGATGATTTCGACATGCATATATTTACCCATACAACAGATCATTTTACAAAATGGAAAACACCAGAGCCCCCTACACCCCAAAACCTCTCTCACTTTTTCATTCTGAAATAATGGTACGTGGTTTTTTTTAATCGAGTAAACTTGGTGCATTGTAAATATTTTACTTTTTATGAAATACCTATTTAATGTAAGTACAATGGATTATAATTTAAGAAGTAAGGATTAAATTATTAAAATATTACTTTAAAAATTGCACAATTCAAACTAAGAAAGTGTTACTTTTACCGGACTTGACGACGTGGTGTTATATTTGAAATCAAATTGTAGCCAATAAATTACAAGGACTTCATAAAGGCTTGGTAAGTTGCTTTGAGTGTTGGTTGGTAGAAATTGCTTTGAACGTTGGTTGGTAGAAATTGCTTTGAATCAACTTTTCAATGTTTCCATGTAAATAAAGATGTATTGATTTTCTTAATCAACTGGCTGCAATGAATTCTTATTACACACGTTCAAAGAAAAAAAGAAATTAAAATACTATTTAAAACTGTAACCAACAAACCTGGTGTACGAGTTATCGAGAAGCAGAGCCTTGAACCCAAGGGGAAACAAGAACTGAAAATAAACACACTAAATTGTATCATCCGTATTGCTTCCCCTTGTACAAGGCAACACCACCTCATAAGACTTATGTTGGGAAGCTGAAGAGATCGCTTTAAAATCTTCAAGCTTATCAAGGGAAAAACCAGTGATGTCAGTTTTTCAAAATTCCTGTTATCTCTCTTGTAGCTACATTCCATTTAATAAAATAATATGATACATAGGTCCAATTGAAAAAGCAGCGTAGTCAATAATAAATACGTAGACATCTTGATATTTTCATAGTTTCATGAGAAATTTTCAAACTTAAAATTCAATTTTCTCAAAACACTCAAAACCTGATATCACTGGCTTTTCCCTTGAGCCCTTCAATATTCAAGCTTATATTTCAAATACATTGTGAGAAAAGCTATTTGTGTATTCTTTTGCATTGGTCATGATTTTGTGGCAAGTATGTAATTAAAAATTATTTAAATATCCTCTATATCAATCCATTTTTTTTTCTCGCTTATGCAAAATCACGACAACCTTATCGTTGAACGAACCGAGGCTCAACACCTTCTCAGACTATTTCGAGACGCAAAAATATATATTTTTTTTTAATTTTATTATAGGGGACTATGGGAACGAACGTTTCACACCAAGAGCCGATTCGTAGTGCTGATTGAGCTCATGGTACGAGGTGCCAAAGTTTTCTGTTACAGCTTCATGAATGGGACTTATGTTAGGCTACTTAGATAATTTTACTAACCTTAAATCCATCATCAAATATCGCTCTAACAACAAAACCCACAGACACAGAGACACACAGAATATCTAACATGAAATGGAGGAAAGGCTCAAAGTTGAAGAGTTTATTGTTCTCTCTTTATTAGTGTCTTAATAATGTTACTTTCCTAGGACCTAGCATCACTTTGATGAGAAGTGAAATCAGCTTAATCAACCTAAACCAGTGATTGTCAACAGGTCTTGAGATGATTTAATCAAATCAACTTGGAACATTGTTATTCTAGGGGGACGAGCTGTCACGCAATGACACAATGATGGGTCGTTAAAAGTGGTTGTCAAATGTCATGCAATGACACAATGATGGGTCGTTAAAAGTGGTTGTCAAATGTCATGCAAGACACAATGATGGGTCGTTAAAAGTGGTTGTCAAATGTCATGCAATGACACAATGATGGGTCGTTAAAAGTGGTTGTCAAATGTCATGCAATGACACAATGATGGGTCGTTAAAAGTGGATGTCAAATGTCATGCAATGACACAATGATGGGTCGTTAAAAGTGGTTGTCAAATGTCATGCAAGACACAATGATGGGTCGTTAAAAGTGATGGCAAGTGTCCTGCAATGACACAATGATGGGTCGTTAAAAGTGGTTGTCAAATGTCATGCAATGACACTGTGATCAGTCGTTAAAAGTGGTTGTCAAATGTCATGCAATAACACAATGATGGGTCGTTAAAAGTTGTTGTCAAATGTCATGCAATGACACAATGATGGGTCGTAAAAAGTTTTAATTTCCAACGTTCATCAATTTTCTTTTACATTAAAGGACCTAAGAGGGATGTAAAAAATGACTTGGGACATTTCTCGTCAAAGATAGAAATGAGTAAAAAATAATTTAGAATATTCAATAAAATTATGAGAGAATCTTTGAGCCCTGACCCTCACCAAAAACAGAAGTCACTGTGTTCATAAATGCGTGTGTGTGTGTCTGTGTGTATGTGTGTGTGTGTGTTTGTGTGTGTGTGTGTGTGTGTGATGTGTCACTGACTTTGAGCAATGTGTTACAGAGTTGTTAAAATTATTAAGAAAACAAAACCTGAGAACAAATGTAAGCTGACAAGGTTGTACTACCAAACAGACCTGAGAACAAATGTAAGCTGACAAGGTTGTACTACCAAACAGTTTATTCCAAAAATAGATACCTGAGGAAGTCAATCACATGAATGAATGACAAAAAAAGTCAATCCTTCTTCCTGTTGTCTTCATTTCTCATTAGCAGCTTGACGGATGAAGGGTCCCGAAAAGAAAGCGAAATTGTTTCACATTATGGCTGGGTATATGAAAAACAGTAATACTGGAGAGTGACTGCAGTCAGGCTAGAACATGGAAATGACCGAAATAAAGAATGGGGAAACCTGAAAATAAGTACGCAACAAAACAGTGAACGTGTCGGCAGGAGGCCTTCATTAGCTAACAAAAAATAGTAAAAACCAAAATTAATTAAAAATAACAGATGAAATGTAGGATCAGGGAGAGCAGCAAGAGGAAAGAGACAGAACATAAGTAAGTGAGAGATGTAATGCACGCCTGTATTCTATAGAGTGCCTTACTGGACTTAGGCGAAGTCTATGATAACATTGTTTTTACGAAATGCTTTTTTAAAAAAAATGTGCTTAGTGCCATGCATGCATTAGACAAATCCTTCCCCTTTCCGGTCGACTGTTTTGTTGCAGCTGATACCATGAGATTTAGTTGTGTAAAGGAATATCCTCTGGAGTACAATCCTCACCAAGGTAAGACAATATCCAGCACCCCGGGTGGATGAGACTCGTTAACCTTGGATGGCAACTCATCTAAGAGAAGGTAACTCTGAATTCAAACCCGGAGATGGAGTCCCGTAGGCGGACAACCCCTGCGACGTCACTGGCGCCAAGCTGTATCATCCCCATGATGTTCACTTGGGTTATCCAGCGGCGTGGAGAGAGAGGATTTGCTGTGGGAACCAGTTTATAATCCTAAAAGAATAATCCCAGGCCTTGTGGATTTCGCCCTGTGAAGTCTTCACCATCGTCAGATTGTGACGGCCGGTTGTCAGCTAACATTAACTAATAATCGACCTATCAAAGATGGCGCTCTGAGTGCCATTCACGTCTTTTCTCAGACATTTTCAGACACAGGCATTTACAATTGCATTTTTCGATTGCTATAGCCTTAAAATGGAGATGCGTTCATATAGAGACAATTTTTGTGACATGTAACAATGTTTGTATTCTGAACTGAGCCAAACTCCAAGTGTAACAATGTTTGTATTTTGAACTGAGCCAAACTCCAAGTGTAACAATGTTTGTATTCTGAAATGAGCCAAACTCCTAGTGTAACAATGTTTGTATTCTGAAATGAGCCAAACTCCTAGTGTAACAATGTTTGTATTCTGAAATGAACCAGACTCCAAGTGTAACAATGTTTGTATTCTGAACTGAGCCAAACTCCAAGTGTAACAATGT